ATAAAAGACTCACTTTAGATCTTAGGATGCACACAAGCTGAAAGTAAAAGGCTGGAAAAAGACAGTCCATGTAAATAGTAACTAAAAGAGGTGGGGTGGCCAATACTAATATCAGACAAAACAGACTTGAAGTCAAAAGTGGTTACAAGAGACAGAGAAGAACTTTAATTACTCATGAAAAGATCAATTCACCAAGAAAATATAACAATTGTAAATATATATACACCAAACATCAGAACTTCAAAATATGTAAAGCAAATACTGATAGAATTGAAAGGAGAAATAGACAGTTCTATAAAAATAGTTGGAGACTTCAATACTTCAATTTCAATAATGGACATAACAATCATACAGAAGATAAATAAGAAAACAGCAAATTTAAACATTATAAACCATGTGGACCTAACAGACATAGCACTGAATCCAACAATAGCAGTCAACACATTTTTCTCAAGTGCATGTAGAAAATTTTTCAAGAGTAAAGAAACAAGTCTTAATACATTTTTAAAAACTGAAATCAAACAAAGCATATTTTCCTATCACAATAAAATCAAACTAAAACCTGGAAAACTTACAAATATTTAGAAATTAACACATTCTTAAGAGACCGATGCGTCAATAGAGAAATCATAAGGGAAATTAGAATATATTCTGAGACAAATGAAAATGAAAAGCCAATATACCAAAACTTATGGAATGGAGAAAAAGCAGTGCAAGAAAAGAGGAAATTTATAGTTGTAAACAGTAAGTGTTTATATGCTTACATAAACAATCTACCTTTACACTTTAAGGAACTATTAACAGAAAAAGAAGAGCAAACTAAACCCAAAGCCAGTAAAATTCATTAACTAGATTGACAATAAAAGAGAGATGACTTCAATTACTAAAATCAGAAATAGAAGTAGGGACATCACTCCTAATTTTACAGAAATAAAAAGGATAATAGAGTACCATGAACAATCTTATGCCAATGAATTAGGTAACCTACATGAAACAGACAAAGTCCTAGAAACATATAAAACCTATGAAGCCTGACTCATGAAGAAGAAACTCTGTAACAGACCTATAACTAGTAAGGAGATTGAAGAAGTAATCAAAAACTTTCCAACAAAGAAAAGCTCTGGACCAGATAGCTTCATTCGTGAATTCACATAACATTTAAGGAAGAATTAAAACCAATCCTCCTCAAACTCTTTCAAGAAATTAAAGAGGAAGGAATACTTCCAAACTCATTCTATGAGGCCAACACTACCCTGATACCAAAGCATAACAAAAAATGAAAAGACCAATATCTCTGATGACTATTGATGCAAAAATCCCCAACACAATATGAGCAAAACAAATTCAACAGCACACGAAAAGGATTACACATCATTACCAAGTGGGATTTCTTTTCCTGGAATGCAAGGGTGGCTCAACATACTCAAATCAATAAATGTGATGCACAAAAGTAACAGAATGAAGGGCAAAAACCAGATGATCATCTCAATAGGTTCAGAAAACCATTTAACAAAATTCAACATCCTTTCATGATAAAAAAACTCCCAAAAAATGAGGTATAGAAGGAATATACCATGATACAATAAAGGCCATATGATAAGCCCATAGTTAACATCATAATCAACTGCAAAAAGTTGATAGTTTTTCCTCTAGGATCAGGAAATAAGACAAGGATGCCCACTCTTATCACCTCTATTCAACA